TGATGCTGTTAACAGGAGAGGGACGGACACCGCGGCGTGCTGCGTGAACCCCCCACCTTTCATGTGAGACTCTGCAGAGTAACCCTGCGAGTGTCGCTCCTGCACTTGACACGCCAGACTCTTGGCTTTCTTGCCGCAGCCTGTCTGTGACCGTAACCTAGCGCCTGGCACCTATTTCCCAGCCGGGAATGCTGTTGCTGATCGCGCTGTGTCCGGTCCGTTTACAGGCAAGGAGCAGTATTGCCTTTTTTCCTGTTTACCTGCACACTTAGTTGCATTGCCCTGGAATTCAGGCCATCACATCCTAAGCATCCAGTAAGCAATAGGTAAGCTCATCAAGGAGGAAAGGGAGGCATTGTGAGCAACTTGAGTTTTGCTCCTTGCAGTGTACAGATATTGGTAAAGAATCCACTCTCTGCCAAAGCACTTCTGAAAAATAATTTAGAAATGAGATGTGACAAATGTCCTAATATTTGTTTGTAAATGGGAACTGATTCCTTTTCAGTCCTGATGAAAACCTACTTATTTTTTAAAAGAAACACATTATTTGCAAGAACAAGAAAGTGAAAGACTCTTAGTACACTGACTATGCTCCCCTGATTGGAAAGACACTCTGACCTTAGCCACATCACAAGTACAGCAATCTAACTAGGAGCTTAACTTTGTACATTACTTTAGGTGGGAAAGTTTGTGCTACTGGTCTTGATAAACTGTGTCATTACATTCTAAATTTAGCATCATCAGCTTGGGTTTATTGCTACTGTCAGCTTTTCTTACAGGTCTATTAATCGAGGTTTGTTCTCTAACAATTCAGGATTCAGAGCAGATAGTATCTTACTCCTGAAATTGTTTTCTAAACTGAGTTAATCATTGAAAGCAGGTCACACTGGATGTCTATATGGTGGTCTGAAAAAGAAGGGTGGAGGGAGGATTTACAATGATTTTCCCAGTGTGGACATCAAGATTAAAAAAAAACATTACTAATTGGTCTCTCCCTTGGCAATGTGTGCAGAGAGGTCAATGATTGAATGAGCCATAAAGGCTGAATTCCCTTCTCCCTTTTGGGGCAAGGAGAGGAGGAAAGATGATTCCCCCTGAAACAGAACTTAGGCAAATAACAGTGATCATATGTGTATGAATTTGTACAGCTCTGGAAAATATATCTGCTAATTGCTATACAACAAGGGTTAAGTTGCTGGTTTTCTTTGTTTTATGTATTACGGTGCTAGAGTAAACTGCAAATCACTAGAGGAAGATACATAGAATTTTTGTATAACAACTTATTTTAAGAAACAAAAAATTGCTGTTTGTTAAATATTACAGACACTCAGTCTATGTCTCCTCAGAAACATCATGCTTTCCTCTTGGACAATGCATTACTTTTCCAGGCTAGCCCATTTAGCAATTCCACTGCTTTTCTTCAGCAGGGTTCAGTTTCTTCCAGAAAGAACTATCAGCGTATCTGTTTTATGTAACTCTGTAAGATGTCTTGTCTGATTGGTTCATTTTTATTTTTCTAGTTCTTTGGGATTAGCTCAGGACTGAGAGTTTTATTTTATAATGTTTTTGGTATTTTGCACACTCAGTGTGTAGTGGCAGTCAAGAAAGCAAATAGAATGTTAGGAATCCTTAATAAAGGGATACAGAAAATACCTTATTGCCCCTCTATAAAACCATGGTACACCCACATCTTGAATACTGTGTACAGATGTGGTCACCTCATCTAAGAAAAGATATACTAGCATTGGAAAACGCTCAGAAAAGGGCAACAAAAATGATTAGGGGTTTGGGACCAGGTCCCATATGAAGAGAGAGTAAAAAGACTTGGATTTTTCAGCTTAGAAAAAAAGGAGACTAAGGGGGGAGATGATAGAGGTCTATAAAATCATGACTGGTGTGGAAAAAGTGAATAAGGAAAAGTTATTTACTACACCCACAATATAAGAACTAGGGTTCACCAAATGAAAATAATAGGCAGCAGGTTTTAAACAAAAGGAAGTTTTCTTCACTCAGTGCACAGTCAACCTGTGGAACTCCTTGCCAGAGGATGCTGTGAAGGTTAGAACTTTAACAGGGTACAAAAAAGAGCTAGATAGATTCATGGAGGTTAGGTCCATCAATGGCTATTAGCCAGAGTGTGGGAAGGAATGGTGTCCCTGTCCTCTGTTTCTCTGGTGGGGGGTGAAGGGAGGGATCCAGGGCTGCATTATGACTTTCGTGGGCCCCTCCCACCATAATATCAATATTAAAAATTATTTTTGATATAACTTTAAATACTTCATTTTTTTTCTGTTTTAGGCAAAATTTAATAGATTTTCATGGGCCCTAAAAGTTTCATTTTTTTCTGATGTGAGAAAAAAATTAAAACATTTTCGTGGGCCTCTAAAAGTATCGTGGGCCCAAATGGATAAGTTGGCCCTGGAGGTATCACATGAGGATTACCTGTTGTGATCCCTCCCTCTGGGGCATCTGGTATTGGCCACCATTGGCAGACAGGATAACTGGGCTAGATGGACCTTTGGTCTAACCCGGTATGGCTGTTCTTCTATTCTTAGGTTTAGGAAATGAGACAAGTCATTGTGCTAGCTCTACACAATCATATCTTCTACTCTGATAGACTTTTGCAGAATACACTTAATCTTGTCTAACTTGAAACCAAGTCTGCTGCCCAATAGGAACTGGAGAAAGACTGTTATAATGCTGACTCAGACATTAGTTAATGCCCCAATATCAGTTGCCCTTCCTTTACATGTTACAGCTATTCCTCTGGACTGATTAATAGTTCCTGTGTAAAGGTGATACAGCTTTCTCTTTTTCTTAAATGTATTCAAGATATCTATCTAAGATGTTAGAATATTAAAAACACAACAAAACCACAAATGCACATAATATTTCATTACTAGTTTACGGTCCAGACCACTTATATGAGCCCACCACTTTTAACAACCCCAAGTGCCTCAGTCAAAATTCTTTAGACAGTTTTTCCCCTTTGGTGATTAGTTGTCCGTTTCCTACTTTCAGTAACTTTACTTCAACCTCATTTCACCATGCTCCTGTTCTTCTCCCCCTCCCCCCTTTTCTCCCTTTACTTATCCCAGGCCCCTTCAGTGCCTGTTCTCCTTTCCTTTTCTCTTATTCCTTCACGGGAACTTCCTCTGCTTCTTGTGGTGCTAACATAACATTTGCAGAATGTGTTTACTCTGCTTGTACATGATACCCCTCCCCTCTCCATCCTTTATCTTTTCTGCTACATTGTAAACTGGTCAGGACAGAAACCACTTAACCTTTGCTCATATAGTGCCTTGCATAGTGTGGACCTGATCTCAGTTACGGTGCCTATGAGCAGGGTCGTCTTATTATTTGTAGGGCTTGACAAATTATACAATCTACTCACCCGTGGCGAGTAGATTGTAACCCGGAAGAGCTGGGTTCAGGCAATCTGCGGATGCACAGATCGCCGGACAGCGTGGTTGGCGAGTGGGGCTAGCCGCCATTCGGCGAGCCCTGATTATTTGTATCTTAAATTGCACTGTCTGGTATTTGTAGGAACTTACCTTTCCTTCTTGTTTAAATTATTTTCTATATTTTTTGCTGTATTTCAATTCTTTAATGTAATGATAAATTAGTATTAAAATAGTTTTCTTTAAATGAATCCTAATTACTCTTGCATCCTATAAGCTATATATTTACATTATATAGGATACTTAGATTATTTAGATTTACTGTGAACAGAGATCATTTAACTTGCCAGAGTGAAATGCAACAGCCATTAAGACAGCTGAATTTTCATAGCAAAGAAAAAAACAAGTTTAATACACATGGGGGCATTTTAAAAGACCATGTAAATACGAGTTAGAATTTAGCCAGGACCTTAACACTTCAAGTTGTGCAAAAATGCACAGGGCTTATGTGACTAAAATTGGTCAGGGGCTTGGGCTTGAGATTGCCCCTCTGGGCTCATAGTTTCACAGGTCCATAGTGCTTAGACCCTGGTCACTAACTCAGAGGGATGAACTATGAGTCTTAAAGCACCCATGTCACTTCTGCCATCCCTTGGATTTCTCTTTTGGATGCAAATGGTGGTCTCCCATGCAAATATTGACCAGGCTAATACTGCTTAACTGTCATATCTGACAAAATACCAGTCTGAGATGGTATGGCTGCAGGAATAGGTAATGGTATTTATAACAATTATCATGTTCTCTTAGAGTGGAAATATCAGTGATCTTTAAAAAATTTCAATTCATTTGAATCAGATTTGTTTACATTTTAAATACATATTTTAGAAAAAAATATTTAAGATTAAATTGAAATTGTCAATCTGTGTTAAGTCTAAATGTACTAACATCTTTTAAACACAAAAAGGAAGCTTACAAGTAGTGGAAACTTGGACAGGTGACTAGGGAAGAGTATAAATATGTTGCTTGAGAATGCAGGGGAGTAATCAGGAAGGTTAAAGCATAATTGGAATTGCAGCTAGCAAGGGATGTGAAGGGTAACAAGAAAGGTTTCTACAGGCATGTAGAATAAGAGGGTGACCAGAGCTAGTGAATTGCAAATAATTCTATTGAAGGGTTTTTGCAAGAAAACAAACTTCACAAGCTAAGCTCAAATTTGTGTTCAAAATCACTACTTTGTATTTGTACAAAATGATGCAACATGCTCATTTTTCTTCAGAAGTTAGATAAAATATGCCACTACTATGCCAAATGAGGTGATGCAGCTTTTTGAAGAACTATTTAGAAGAGCTAGACATATATGAATCCATGGGTCCGGATTTAATGCATTCGAGGGTACTGAGGGAGTTGGCAAATGTCATTGCAGAGCCTTTGGCCGTTATCTTTGAG